AACTGGAAGCTTACCTTCTAGAACTCTGTTCTATTCACTTCTTCCCTTGACTGATTTTAATTTCTATTCTCTAGCTGTAATAAAATGTAACCATGAGTATTAACAGCATTCATTGAGTTCTGAGAGTCTAACCAGCGAATTATTAAAACTGAGGGTGGTCTTGGTGACCCTTGAACTTGCTATTGCTGTCCTAAGTGAGGACAGTCTTGTGTGAGGGCTGTTTCCACGAACTTCTGCACAAGATAAACATATAAACATCAACTGACTTTCTATATACTAGTAATTAACAATAAGAAGTTTAAATCAAAGGGGCACCTGGCCGGCTCAGTCTGTGGAGCATGTGACTCTTGATCTCAGGGATGTGGGTTCAAGTCCTACATTGGGTATAGAGATTACTTAAAAAAAAGAAATTAAAAAGAAAAACCAATATTACACAATAAAGTATAAACAAGACAACAAGTTAAAAAAGCATCAAAAATATGAAAGACTTAGGGAATCATTTGTCAGATATGAAAGACCTGTATATTGAAAACTACAAATGTAATAAAATGTAACAATATTAAAGAATATTTAGAGAAATGGAGAGATATATCTTATTTATGAGTCAGAAAACAATATTGTTAAGATTTCAGTTATCCTCAAATTGATCTATAGATTCAAACTAATCCCAATAAAAACCATGGCATTTTTGTTGTTGTTGAAATGGACAAACTTATTCTACAATTCATATAGAAATGTAAAGGACCTAGAATAGGCAAAACAAACTCTGAAAAAGAAACAGCTTTATTGAGGTATAATTTACATTATATATTTAAATTGTACAGTTCAATGACTTTTTTTAAACAAAAAAGTTTATTCTTAAATGTACAACAGTTCATTCTAGCTATAAGTGGCAATAGATGTTATGGCAGGGAATCCAGATGTTTAAAAAGGAATGGAATTAAGGATCACCTCAATGACCTTTATTAAATTTACCTAGTTGTGAAACCATCACCACAATCAAGTTCTAGAACATTTATATCACCCCAATAAGATTTCTGTACTAATTTACAGTAATGATCATTCCTATTTTCAGCCCCCAGTTAACCAATAATCTACAGATCTTTATAGATTTTTCTGGAAATTTCATATAAATACAATATACGAATATAATACTTGATCTCTTTTGTCTTGCTTCTTTCACTTAGCACATTTTTGAGGTTCATCAATGTTGTATTATTAGTATTTGTTACTTTTTATTGCTGAGTGCACTACATTTTGTGTATCCATTTGCTAGTTAATGGACATTTGGATTGTCTCTACTTTTTGCCTTGTGTAAATAATGCTGTTACAAATAAGTGCAAGTGTTTGTGTGAACACATGTTACATATCTTTTGGGTAGATACTAGGGGTGACATCTCTGGGTCTTATGGTAAATTTATGATCAACTTTTAAGGAAACTGCCACTTTGGAAAAGTGGCTATACCACTTTGAAGCATCTACACCAGAAATGTATGCAAGTTCCTAATTTCCATATCTTTGCCAACATTTGTTGTGGTTGTCTTTTTTATTATAGCCATTTTACTGCATGTAAAGTGGTATTTCATTGTGGTTTTCATTAGAATTTCTCTAATGACCAATGATGTTGGGCATCTCTTTATTTGCTTACTTGCACTATGTCTTTGGTGAAATGTCTCTTCAAGTCTTTTGCCCATTTTTATTTTATTTTATTTTATTATTATTTTTTAAGTCAATCTTTTTTTTTTTAGGATTTTATTTATTTATTCATGAGAGACGCAGAGAGATAGAGAGAGAGAGAGAAGCACAGACACAGGCAGAGGGAGAAGCAGGCTCCATGCAGGGAGCCTGACATGGGACTCGATCCCAGGTCTCCAGGATCACACCCTGGGCTGAAAGCAGCGCTAAACCACTGAGCCACCTGGGTTGCCCTTTTTGCCCATTTTTAAAATGAGTTGTCTCTTTTTATTGAGTTGTAAGAGTTCTTTATGTATCCCATATACAAGTCCTTTATCAGACATAGGATTTACAAATGTTTTCTCCTAGTTTGTGTTTTGTCTTTTAATTTTCTTACTGGTGTCTTTTGAAGCACAAGTCTTTTTGAGTTTTGGTTTAAGTTGTTTATTATTTTTTCTCCTAATGGATCATGCTCTTGGTGACCTAAGAATTTCTTGCCTAAAACAAGGTCACAGAGTTTCTCGTGTTTTCTGCTAAAATTTTTATAGTTTTAGCTTTTACATTTATGTCTATGATCCATTTTGAGTTGTTAGAATGGTGTGAAGATTTAAATTTCTTTTTTTTGCATGTGAATATCCAATTATCCCTGCACCAAATGTTGAAGGGCTTTTCTTTCCTCATTGAATTGCCTTCACACTTTTGTGAAAAAAAAATGTTTACCATAAGTATGAGGGTTTATTACTGGACTCTATTCTATTCTGTTGATCTATGTATCAATCCCCATGCCAGTAGCATACTGTTGCAATTACTGTAGTTTTGTAATAATTTTGAAATTGGTAGGTAAATGTCCTTCTACTTTGGCAAATTCCTTTTTGCTATTCTTGATCCTTTCTACCTCTCTCTATATTTTGAGGATTAGTTGATCAGTTTTGGGGGAAGGAAGACTGCTGAATGTTTGATAAAATTGTATTGAATCTGTAGGGCATGTGATTTTTCTTCTTCAGTTTGTTAATATGATTACATTGACTGATTTTTTTAAAGATTTTATTTATTTATTCATGAGAGACACAGAGAGAGAGAGGCAGAGACACAGGCAGAGGGAGAAGCAGGCTCCATGCAGGGAGCCCGACATGAGACTTGATCCCGGGTCTCCAAGATCACGCCCTGGGCTGAAGGTGGCGCTAAACCGCTGAGCCACTCAGGCTGCCCACATTGACTGATTTTTGCATGTTGAAGCAGCCTTGCATCATGGAATAAACCTCACTTGGTCATGATGTAGAATTATTTTATATGTTGCTAGATTCAATTTGCTAATATTTTGTTGAAGGTTTTTTCACATCTTAAATTCATGAAGAATATTGATCTGTAGTTTTTTGGTTGTTGTTATGTATTAGTATGGCTTAAGTATCAGGGTAATACTGGCCTCACAGACTTGGGAGAGTGCTCCTTCTTCCTCTATTTTTTGAAAGATTTTATTGAATTTTGATATTATTTCTCCTATAAATGTTTAATGCAATTAACCAGTTAAGCCATCTGGCTTTAGTCTTTTTTGTATGGGAAGATTTAAATTTACTAATTGCTTACTACTGTAATATAAATGGTGCAGGCATGTGAGGACCATGCCTGGGTGTCAGATCTCAGATATCAGTTAACTGTCTTGGGGAGCTACTATGGTGGGATTGGAAGATAAGAAATAGTAACTAAAATCACACTGCAATCACTATATAGTAACCATAACATATATATATATATATACACACACACACATACATACATATACACACATACATACATAGATATATATACATTCATACATACATATATATGCAAGATTTAAATGTATCTTTTTGTGTGTGTATATATACATGCACACACACACACACACACACACACACACACATATATATATACACACACACACAAATATATATATGGGCTAAAGTAAAAAAGATGGAAAATACCAAGTGTTGACAAGAATGTGGAGCAACCAGAACTCATATACTATGCTGGTGGGAGTGTATATTGGTATAGACACTTCGGAAAACTAGTTTTATAAACTGAAGCTGAGCATATCGATACTGTATGACTTGGCAAATCAAATCCTAGATATATGCCAAACAAATTCATAAATATATTCATTAATATATAGGTACTAAAATATTTATAGCACCACTGTTCCTAATAGCCAGAAGCTGCAGACAACCCAAATGTCCATCAACAGTGGAATAAACATATTGTAGCATATTCGCACAATGGAACATAACATGACAATGAGAATGAATTGTCTACAACTGCATTCAACAAAATGGATGAACCTCACATTTACAATGTGAATGAAAGAACTAAAGATTATATTACTAAAATATGAAATATAATTGTTTGACTTAATTTATTTAAATTACCAAACAGACAAAACTAATCTATGCTGTTAGAAGTCAGGATAGTGTTTATCTTGGAGGTTGAGGGTCAAGGCCTGGAAGGGAGCACAGGGAATGCTTCTGGAGTGTTGGGTGTTTTGTTTCTTGATCTGAGTATGTTCAATTTGTGAGAGTTCAATGAGCTGTTTGCTTATATCTGCATTTTTTGTATGCAGTATATGTTAATAAAAAGGTTTAAAAATAAAACTGTATGCTAGAAAACCCCTTTTCTTATGAGTATCATGAAAAACATTTAAGGGAAAATGAGAAAGTATCTATATATCAGTGCTTTAAAATAAAGCAGTGCTCTTTCTAGAGAAGTCTTCCAGTTATTCAACTATAATCATATCTTAAACTAACCAAATACAGTGCAACATGATTTTATCCCATAGCAATCTACACAATACTACTCTAATGTGCATGTAGAAAATGAACGTATTTCACCAAATTGAAAGAAAACCAAAATCAAAATGTTATGTATTGAAATCCAATTTGTCAACCACTCCTTTTCAAAAAGAAATCCCAAGGAAAGCAGAAGCTTCAGTGGATGAGACCAGAAGTCCAGTGTGTTGTGGCTCAGTTCCATTGTTTTAGGGTTAGTTACAAAGGGGATAATAAGTCTATGGTGTTCAGCTTACATAAATAATAGCTTTTGGGGTACAGGTTAGAAGGTATGCAAACCTTTTTTGAATGTGAATCACCTGCTGCCACAGCTTGTAATTAATGAGGGAACAACTGCCACCCTTAGATGTCTGTAAGGTTTATTAACTGTATTATTCCTGTAACATCGGCTAGAGTTATGCCTGATTTGCCAATACATAAAGTCATTTTAAACTTAAAGTGATACTTCAAGTTTAAAAATTCTATTTCATTTTTTAAAAATATATTGTGGTGAAGGGAAAAGAAATAATAGTTCCTCATGGCAATCTTTTCTGTATTTTAAATGTCAACGATCACAAAAACTTCTGGCTTCTACTCACAGATCTGCATTCCTGAATAGATTTTTGCCTTGACTTTGTTGCTCTGCAGGTGTTTGGACAATGAAAACTCTTCTCCCCACCCTAGAAATTTGAAAAAAAAAAGTGGCCAAAATATTGAGGACTTTGACATCCCAGGGTATGAAGAACAAATCAGTGCTGAATTTATAGAGTCCTTTATCTAAAAAGTGAAACAGAGGTTACAAGTCATCCTCTGGGGTCTCTATCTCTACCATTTGTAGGAAGTTGAGGGTCTCTGTGTGAATCATGCAACCAAACAGGACTATTGCTCAAATGCCTTATCAGTGTCTCCCTATGCATATAATTGCATGTCAACTGTGGTGATGCAGGTACTTATATTTCCAATTGACTGAAGGATGCTACTTGGCTTTGTTTGCCTTCTGTTCACTTAAGCTGTAATTTGCCATAACATACCTATTTCCCCCTGCACAGTGATTGCAGCATCCGGCATCCCCTTCCCCACTACGAGACATCTGATGCATACCCAGTTGTGAGTTCCAGCTGAAGGCTTTTTCAGCTAATGGCTTTATAATTTTTCTCCACTATGAGTTTTCTGGTGTTTAATGAGATTTGATCTGTCAGTGAAGGCCTTCTGACATTCTGTACAAGCATAGGGTTTCTTTCCTGTATGAATAATCTGATGCATACTTAATGTTGCTTTCTGGATGAAGGCTTTTCCACATTTATTGCATTCATAGTGTCTTTCTCCAGTATGAGATTTCTGATGGATGGTGAGGCGGGACTTCCAGGTAAAGGTTTTTCCACAGTCACTGCATTTATAGGGTTTCTCTCTAGTATGGATTTTCTGGTGTGTTATAAGATTTGACCTGTCAGTGAAGGCCTTTCCACATTCAGCACATATATTGGGTTTCTCTCCTGTGTGAATCTTCTGATGTACACGGAGTTGTGACTTCTTAGTAAAACATTTCCCACAGTCACTGCATTCATAAGGCTTCTCTCCAGTATGAATTCTATGATGTGCAATGAAGTGTGATTTCTGGATGAAGGCCTTCCCACATTCAGGACAAACGTAGGGTTTCTCTCCTGTATGGATTCTCTGATGTACACTTAGTGTTGATTTTTGGATAAAGGCTTTCCCACATTCATTGCATTCATAGTGTCTCTCTCCAATATGAGATTTCTGATGTATTTTGAGGCGTGACTTCCATATGAAGGCTTTTCCACAGCCGTTGCATTTATAGGGTTTCTCTCCAGTATGAGTTTTCTGGTGTTTAATGAGATTTGACTGGTCACTGAAAGCCTTTCCACATTCAGCACACATATAGGGTTTCTCTCCAGTATGAGTTTTCTGATGTGTAGTGAGGTTTGTCCTATGAGTAAAGACCTTTCCACATTCTGTACATATATAGGGTTTTTCTCCTGTGTGAATTCTTTGATGCACATGGAGTTGTGACTTCTTAGTGAACGATTTTCCACACTCACTGCATTCATAAGGTTTTTCACCGGTATGGATTCTCTGATGTGTATTGAAATGTGATTTCTGGATGAAGGCCTTCCCACATTCGGTACATACATAGGGTTTCTCTCCTGTGTGAATTCTCTGATGCATTCTAAGTGCTGATTTTCTTGTGAAGGCTTTCCCACATTCACTGCATGCATAGTGTTTCTCTCCGGTATGAGTTTTCTGATGTATATTAAGGTCTGAATTCTGGGAGAAGCCTCTTCCACATTCACTGCATTCATACGGTTTTTCTCCTGTATGAATTCTCATATGTCTAAAGAGATATGATCTGTGGAAAAAGGCTTTTCCACATTCACTGCATTTATAGGGTTTCTGCCCCGTATGAATTTTCTGATGTGTAATGAGGTTTGACTTGAGAGTAAAGGCCTTCCCACACTGAGTACATATATAGGGTTTATCTCCTGTATAAACACTTTGAGGTACATCAATCTGTGGCTTTTGAATGAGGACTTTGTCACTTTTATGGCAATCATGGGATTTTTCCTCAGCATGAATTCTCTGATGCTCAAAGAGATGTGACTTCTGGGGGAAGCTTTTTACACACTCAGTACATACATACAGTTGCTCCCCAGTCTGAATTTTCTGATGGTGAATGAGAACTTGTTTGTTGCCAAGATGTTTTTCACATTGATTAATTTCACAGGAATTTGCTCCTATATTAGCATTCTCAGTAGAGGAAGAGCTATGGGCAAGATTATCATTTCCAAAAATCTTATCAAGCTTCTTTGTTACACTGCTTTTATTATGATTATGTAAGTTTAAAGTATGCTTCAGACTCTTTCCAAATGTGTCATAGTTATGGAGTCTTTTAGTTGAAGGAACAACCTTGGTACTCACATGAATTATTTTTTCAATATTTTTATATTCATAGCCCCTCTCCTTAATCAGTACTTTCACATGACTTAAAGGGTTGTTTTGGTTTTCTTGAGATCTCTCTTGCTGGTTATTATTTTGCCACAATTCTTCTAAAATGGAACATAATGGATTTTTTCCTATGGATTGACCAAATTTCTCACAGTGGAACAAAACTTTTCCAGGAATTCTCTGTTGTTGCATTTCCCCAACATCCTCATCTACAAAGAAAAAGAACTAAGTGAAAATGATGCAAAGGACAATTAGCAGAGGGTAGGGGGTACATGTAGTTCAGATAAGAACATAGAAGTGGAAGAGTTCATATGACAATAATGAAAATAGTAATAATGTAGTAATACAAAATTCATCTAAAGCACTTACTATATACAAAATAATTACATACCATTTATGATGCACCAGGTACCATTCCAAATGCTTTACAGCTCATTTAATCCCCACTGAACCCTAAGAGGTAGCCATCATTACCAATCACATTTCACAGATGAGAAAATGGAAGCACAGAGGTTATGTAACTTGCTGAAGATCAAATTGCTAAATAAGGGCAGCCCGGGTGGCTCAGAAGTTTAGTGCTGCCTTTGGCCCAGGGTGTGATCCTGGAGACCCGGGATCGAGTCCATTGTCGGGCTCCCTGCATGGAGCCTGCTTCTCCCTCTGCCTGTGTACTTTGCCTCTCTCTCTCCCTGTGTGTTTCTCATGAATAAATAAATAAAATCTTAAAAAAAACAACCCCCCCAAATTGCTAAATAAGTGAGGGAGACAGAATTTGAATCCTGGGGACTCATATCCACTATGTAGGAGGTCTGGAGAGTGAGTCTAACCAGAAGAAGAAACTGAAGTCTGTTAAATGGAATCCTAGCATGGAAGAAATATTTCAGGTTATATGTCTTTGTCACTTATCAGCTCTAAACCTTTCTAATCTCTTTGCTTTCTCTTGCTTTTCCATCTGAACCATATGAGCACCAACATTAAATTTATGTGGCCCAAAGACCCATTCTTCTATAGCTATGGGAAGCACTGTGGCAACATTAGCCATCCAAATAGTAAATAGGTATCTGTGCTCCAACTCTATAGCCAGCTGCAAGTTTTCCCTGGTCCCAGGGATATATGTTTTCAACAAGTGTCAAATAGGAGAGGGAAAGCCATCTATGGCAGAAACTGCAAGCCATCCACTGAAAACTATTTGCATTTGCCTCTTCTTTTATACTACTAGAATGTAGCTGGGCTTACATTTACCAGTCTCACTTTGTTCTCGCCAGTAGAAGTGATATGTGCAGCTGCCAGGTTGGCCCTTAAGACAGTGGGCAAAATTCTTCCCCTCTCTCTTTCCCACTGGACTCAACAATGACCCAACATTAACCATGCAGCTAAGAGCAATGCCCTAGGAGATGGCAAAACAATGACTTGGAACATGGTCCCTGAATGACCCATCGTGATCAGAGTTGACTTGTTGAATGAATCCATTTACCTCAGAATTCTGATATGAGAGAATATACATTTATACTAGGCCTGTTATTTTGATCCTCTGCATATTTGGAATGTATTATCCTTGATATTAACTCTAACTTCAGTATACTTCTAGGGAGGTTATACCTGCTATGAATTTATAAAGCAGAGATGGTACTACTCATATCGATACTTAATTTGGCACTTAGTTTGGTACTTAAGTTTTCTTTTGTAACACAAGGCTGAAATTGTTAACATTTCATGCAGCTGTCTTCCCTTTCCAAATATAATCTATGGTCCTTTGAATTTCCCTGAGCAGACATTTGAAAAATACTTCTGAAAGAGAGCAAAATATCCTCTCTGCCTCAAAATATCCTCTCTGCCTAACTCCTCAAATTCAATAAATTTAAGTCTACCAAATATTTTCCATGCTTTGCTTCAGAAAACTGAAGAATAAATGTGCCAGGTATCAACATATTGCCTCTCAACTCTAAATTCACTCCTCTTTGTCTGCTCTACAAAAATGGATCTGAGTCTCTTTAAATATGTTTTTTTTTTCCTTTGCCATCTGTCATGATGTTGAGGCTTTTCAGCACAGGTGATAGAGAAACTGCAGGAGGAAGGGGTTTTGCTTCTTGGTTCTGGTGGGCTCACTTAGCAGGTTCCTCCAGCAAGGACAGCTTGTCTGGCACCAGGCTCCTGCAGTGCAGGTGGCTTCGCCAACACTGGGCTTCTGATGTACACGCAGCTTCCCAGGCACCCAGGTCTTGCAGTGTGGGTGGCTTCTCTAGACCTCAGCTCCTACAGTGTGGATGACTTTTCTAGCACCCAACTCCTGCAGCTCATACAGCTTTCCAAGCACCCAGCTCCTACAGTCCTAGTAGCTTCTCCAGCTCCAGGCTTCTACACTGTATTGCAGCCAGCAGCACTCAGCAGCTTACCCTGGCACCCCTCTCAGATGATGTGTAGACTACCTCTAGTGAGAAGCTTCACCATGATAAGCTTTCTCTGGAACCCCAGAGGGCAGATTTCCAGCAAGCTCTGCCAGCAGAGGACCACAGTAACTCTTCTTCCATGCTCTGAGCTGTGGCTGGGTCCTTCAATAAGATCTGGATTCATCCCTGGGAACAGGGGAGGCTCTTCCTTGGGTGCTCCATCAAAGTCCTAGAGGTACTGACTGTTTCTTTTATCTGCTATTCCTTTATTCTTTGGATTTCTCTTTATTTTTACTAGCTAATCTCTTGTCACTTCAATCTCATCATAGCTAATAATGTTTTATGTTATGCTTTCCCTGTTCAAATTTGTATGTAGTTTCTCTCTCTTGATCAGCCCCTGATTTCTATAACAAGAAATGGGCTCTGAATTCTGGGAACCTTCTAAAGAGAATGAGGTAAAAGCCTCAGTTACCACATAGTCTAAAATCTGTGTTTTTTTTTTTCTGAGTTCCTGTGGAAAGAAAGGCAAGAAAAAGGAAAGAACCACATATGCTGGAGTAAGTGAGCCATTTCATGGAACACCAAAATCTGATTACCAGGTGAAAATGTATCATCTGAATAGACAGAGCACAGAATATTAAAGAGTCAGATTCATGGTGAACACTACTAAATGTGGTAGACATCAAGAAAATGTTAAAAATGCACAGCCAAAGCAACAATCAACAAAATGAAAAAGCAATCTACGTAAGGGGAGAAGATATTTGCACACCATGTATCTGATAAGGAGTTAAAATCCAAATTATCTAAAGAACCCATACAACTCAATAGCACGAAATAAGCAAACCAATTAAAAAGTGGGTAGAGGAACTGGATAAATAGTTTTCCAAAGAATACATGCAAATGGTTACTGAAAGTGAACTAATAAAAAGAATGAAAAAAAAAGAATGGAATCAGCAAGTTCAATCAGGAATAAAATCATCAAAGTCCAGGCATAAGAAAATATGGCGCTGGTTTTAGGTGATATTACTGGGTACTGAGAAGATGAACTGAGAACTGAAAATGATATTTACAAAAATGGAAAAGCACTAGGAACTAGAGGGTAACTAATTTTAAAAAAAGGCTAAAAGATTTAAGAAGCACTGACAGATTGTGACAGAATTTGGAAGATGGGAAGGCTAAGTGTGAGATGATGATTCCAATTTCCAATGTACTGAGGGTCAAGAGAAACATCTCATGGGAACTTTCTGGGTAGTTAAATCTAGTACTAAAGTGAAAACCAGACTGGAGATGTCAACAGCAGAGTCATCAGAATTCAGTATGGATGGGGCAGCCTGGGTGGCTCAGCGGTTAGCGACACCTATGGTCCAGGGCCTGATCCTGGAGACCCAGGATCGAGTCCCACATCGGGCTCTCTGCATGAAGCCTGCTTCTCCCTCTGCCTGTGTCTCTGGTCTCTGCCTCTCTTTCTCTCTCTCTCTCTCTGTGTGTCTCTCATGAATGAATAAATAAAATCTTTAAAAAAAAGAATTCAGTATGGATGAATCTTTGCATGTATACGAAGAAAAGATTGGTGAACAGTAGACAGGGTCCCTAGGGCAGACTCATTGTAGGGGGACAAGGAGGAGGAGAAGGCTGGAAAAAAGGGCAAGTAATAAATTGTATGCAAAGCAGTATGAAACAGACAGGAAACTCAAGTGAAACAAGGGGAACACGAACAAGGTCACTCATAGAAGAAAACTCAAAGAGACCACAACAGGTCAGTAATGAAAGGCTGAAACTAGGTATAGGAGAAATGCAAAAAAGAAGAAAAAATATAATACCACTTCATACTGATTATTGGCTAAAAAATGAGAAACTTTGGTTCTATTAATTGTTGGCAGAAACTCTAGGAAAGCAAGAACCTTTGTGCACTATGGTTAGTATAGATTCATGCAAATCTGAGAATAATATGGTGGTGCTCAAATTCAGGATAAAAATATGCAATGGTTAGGAAAATCCCCTCTTCTATAAACATTCCTAAGAAATTCTCACCCTCCCGAATGTTCCCAAAGGGAACATTTCTGTAGAAATCTATCATAGAATTGTTTGTATTAGCTGGGATTTTGTATTAGCAACAACCTTAGGTTCCACCCCTGGGTGAATGGTTAAGTAAGATGTGGTGCTGACACACTGTGGAATAGTATGCAGCAATTTGAAGGAATGAAGCCAGATGTACACGCTGTAATTCAGACAGACCTTACGAATGAGGGAAAAAAGGAATAGAATTAGACATGTGGCACCATATAACTTATATATACTAAAGATACCTACTCATAAACCAATACTTCAGGCTTTAAAGGAATACTACACAAATTCACAGATCAAACACAGTAGCTCAGCTGCCCCTGGGAGGAGGTATAAGGAATGAACAGGTGGAATTGGAATAAAAGGGAAGAAATTTTAAAATACCTGAATGTACAGGAAAGAATCTAAGATAAAGGGGGTGAGAGTGGAGTAGGAAGAATAAAAAGGTCTTAGATAAGATAGGGTGGTATATATGTGATCCAGAGTACAGAGACTAGAGGCAGCTCTTCTGTCAAAAAGCCAAACAATGAAGACAATTGCAAAAGTCATACTCGGGGGCAGCCTGGGTGGCTCAGTGGTTTAGTGCCTGCCTTCAGCCCAGGGCCTGATCCTGGAGACCCAGGATTGAGTCCCATATCAGGCTCCCTGCATGGAGGCTGCTTCTCCCTCTGCCTGTGTCTCTGCCTCTCTCTCTCTCTATGTCTCTCATGAATAAATAAATAAAATCTTTAAAAAAAGTCATACTCGGAGAGATCATTTAGGTATCAAACGAGCTTCTGTCAACTATCTCCAATAAACTACAGAAGTTTAGAACTTTCAAGGGCAGGTTATCTTCATAGCCTTTCAAAGGTATCAGCCTCTTCTAGAAAAAGTGAGATTTACTTCCATGTCCCCCATCTGCCTGAGTCACACTCACTCACCCAAACAGCTCTGATGTGGGGTTTTTGTCTCCAAAATCCATGGCTCCTCTCCTTGTTCCAACTTGAAGATGACCTCTGGTTTGGGAACCTGGTACCCTGTTAACAGGAGATGATACAGGATTGGGTCGAGCTACTTGGATTTCAGGGGACTTTCTTTTCTTCTTCTTTTTTTTTAAAGATTTTATTCATTTATTCATGAGAGACACAAAGAGAGAGAGGCAGACACAGACAGAGGGAGAAGCAGGCTCCATGCAGGGAGCCCGATGCGGAACTCGATCCCCAGTCTCCAGTCTCCAGGATCACGCCCTGGGCCGAAGGTGGCGCTAAACCACTGAGCCACCCGGGCTGCCCTTCAGGGGACTTTCAATGACATTTCCATTTGCTCTTCAGAAAAGTAATCGCATTTCACTGGGAACAGAGTAATAATAATTGTGCTGAAAAGGGACTGAAGAATCTTGGACAAATAAAGGATGACACCATCACACACTTAAGATGTTCCAGGACACCCAGCAGCTAAGAATGGAAATAGCCACACTGAGGCCTCTGGCAGACACACAGGGCAGCTGTGCTTACCCACTGAGCACAAATGGCTGTAATTCTCCAGTGTCACATCCCGGTACAGTAGTCTCTGAGCAGAGTCCAGGTGCTGCCACTCCTCCCTGCTGAAGTCCACGGTCACATCCTCGAATGACATGGAGATCTGTAACAACACAATCCTGTTCAAGGTGACATGGTCAGCACTGGGGGTTGGAAGAAAGACAAATAGGAAGCTGTTTTTGACGTTTGCCATAATGTAGTACATAGGGTTTTCACTCAGTACCTGGTTTTGTATTTTATCTTGTGAGAGAAAAAAACTTATTGAAGTATCTTGACATTCATTGTGTTTGTAATACATTCAATCATTTATTTGTTCAATCATTCTTTTGCAAAAATGAGGATTAAAATAGTCTCTCTTTAAGTTCTCTAGTTAAGTAGGAACTACATATGTTAACTGGTTGATTATGTGCCAGGCTATGGCAATATAGTATTGAATAAAATAGAATTGAATGAAAAGAAACATATAGGGAAATAGCAAAACAATAGAGCCTTTAAAAACAATACAGAAAATTCGTTCCTGGGTTTTGGCACCCCCAAAAAACACAGACAAAAGATAATATAGACAAACACCTTCATGATCTCAGATTAGGAAAATAATTCTCAATCAAGATGCAAAAAACATTAGCCATAAAGAAAAAGATTGATGTCTGGCTACAGTAAATTTTAAAAATTCTATTTATTTAAAAGACAGCATTATATGGGCAGCCCGGGTGGCCCAGTGGTTTAGCGCCGCCTTCAGCCCAGGGCGTGATCCTGGAGACCCGGGATTGAGTCCCATGTCCGGCTCCTGGCACGGAGCCTGCTTCTCCCTCTGCCTCTCTCTCTCTCTCTCTCTCTCTCTCTCTCTAATAAATAAATAAATAAAACCTTAAAAAAAGACAGCATTATAAGAGAAGAAAATGAAAGCCACAGGATAGAAGACATTTGTAACAGATATTACTGTTGAAGGGTTCATATCTAGAGGTTGTAAAGAACTCTTACAAATCAATGAGAAGAAAGGAGACCAAGTATTAAAGACATGATTCTCTCTATTTCTGCTGCTACGTACAGCTAAAACCCCTGCACATTATATATGAAACAAAGCTAAGAACATTCTGTCAGCTGGAGAGAGGGAGGTAAACCCATGATCCTCAGAACCTGAGGAATGACACAGTGGTGATTTCCCGGAGTTTCTTTTTTCTTTTTTTTTAATTTTATTTATTTATTTGAGAGGAAGAGAGAGAAAGAGAAAGAACACAAGAGCAGGGGAGGGAGAAGCAGACTCCCCATGAGCAGAGACCTGAATGCAGGGCTCAATTCCAGGACCCTGGGATCATGACCTGAGCTGAAGGCAGATGCTTAACTGACTGAGCCACCCAGGCACCTCAGCTGGTAATTTTTTTTAAGATTTTATTTATTTATTCATGACAGAGAGAGAGAGAGAGAGAGAGAGAGAGAGAGAGAGAGAGAGAGGCAGAGACACAGGCAGAGGGAGAAGCAGGCTCCAGGCAGGGAGCCTGACATGGGACTTGATCCTGGGTCTCCAGCCACCCGGACTGCCCTTCCCGGAGTTTTCTTTTTTGCCACACATATCTTGAACTAGGTGCTCAAGAAATTGGCAACCTAAAATGCCAACTGGCACAAACAGAAACAGCCCCAGAAAGCCCACTTTCATTAGTTTAAGTACCAGGAAGAAGGCAACATAGCAAGAGAGAAAAACTTAGATAATACTGCCCTGTTCCAGCCAAGCATCACAGAAAAAAACTGTGCTCTTACTCCCATTCCCATCAGCAAAGGCTGAATGGGGAGCCTAGATTTTCATACCAGTCTGGGAGTAATGAGACCTCTCTCCCACAGTGTCAGTTTAGCCTGTGTGGGGATTCTCCTTTTCTAGCAGAACAGTGTCAGAGGAGGCCTGTTAAACACAAGATTGAAACAATATTCAGAGTCTTAGAGTTCCCAAAATATCCAGGACATAACTGAGAATCAGGCATCATGTGAAGAAGCAGAAAAATCTCAACTGGAATGAGAAAAGACAATCAAGAGACACCAACATTGAGATAACACAGATGTTAGAGTTATCTGACAAGAATTTTAAAGCAACTATCATAAAAATATTTCAATCTACTCAAATGTTTTAAAGATTTTATTTATTTATACATTAGAGACACACAGAGAGAGGCAGAGACATAGGCGGAGGGAGAAGCAGGCTCCCTGTGGGGATTCTGATGCAGAATTCTATCCTAGGACCCTGGGATCATGACCTGAGCCAAAGGCAGACACTCAACCACTGACCCATCCAGGTGCCCCATACTCAAAAGAAATTTGAAAGTAGAAAGTTTTAGCAAAGAAAGAAAAGATATGAAGGTGAATTGAATGGAAACTTTAGAACTGAAGAATACAATGACTGAACATTTAAAAGTCCACTGTGGGCTCAAGAGCAGAATAGAGAGAACAGAGGAAAGAATCCAAGAACTTGACAATGGAACAATGGAAATGATCCAATATGAACAGAAAGAAAACTGGCTGGGGAAAAAAAGAGCCAAGCCTCAGGGACCTATGAGACTATAACAGAAGATCTGGCATTTGTGTCATCAGAGTCCCTGAAGGAGAGGAGAAAGAGTATGGGCTGAAAAAGTATTTGGAGACATTGACTGAAATTTTCTCGAATTTGGCAAAAGTATCAACATAGAGTTTTAAGAAGCTGAGCAAACCCCAAAAGGATAAATCAAAGAAATCTACACCAAGACATGTTATATCAAACTTAAGAAAACAAAAGACAAAAAAAAATCTTAAAAATCAGCAAGAGAGAAACCATAATTTACCTATGCGGGAAAACTAAGTGGCAGTGGATTTCTCATCAGAAGCCATGGAGGAGGGATGCCTGGGTGGCTCAGTGGTTGAGCGTCTGCCTTCAGCTCAGGGTGTGATCCCAGGATCCGGACCGAATTCCACATCAGGCTCCCTGCAAGAAGCCTGCTTCTCCCTCTGCCTGTGTCTCTGCCTCTCTCTCTGTGTCTCTCATGAATAAATAAATAAAACCTTTAAAAAAATTCTAGAAAAAAAGAAAGAAGCCATGGAGGAGAGAAGGAAGTGACACAACATTTTTCTTTCCTTTTTTTTTTCCAATGACTTATTTATTTTACAGACAGGGAGGGGCAGGGGCAAAGGGAGAGAGAGAATCCTTAAGCAGGCTCCCCGCTGAGTGCAGAGCCTGATGCGGGGCTTGATCCCAGGACCCTGACATCATGACTTGAGCTGAAATCAAGAGTCAACCACTTAACCGACTGAGCCACTGAGGTGCCCTAGCACAACATTTTTCAAGTGCTGGAAGAACAGAATTGTCAATTCTGAATTGGCAAACCTATCCTTAAGAAATGAAGTGGTTGGGGGTGAGCATGCCTGAGTGGCTCAGTGGTTGAGCATCTGCCTTTGGCTCAGGTCGTGATCCTGGGGTCCTGGGATCAAGTCCCACATCAGGCTCTTCACAGGGAGCCTGCTTCTTTCTCTGCCTATGTCTCTGCCTCACTCTGTCTCTCTCATAAATAAATAAATAAAATCTAAAAACAATATAACACAACAAAATGAAGTTTATTTAAAAAAATTAAGTTTGGAGGTGTCTGGGTGGCTATGATGATGGGGTGGCTACCTATGATGAAATACTACCTCACATCCACTAGGATTGCTAGAATCAAAAAGTCAGAAAATAGCAAGTGTTGGTGAGGATGCGGAGAAATTGGAACCTTCATATGCTGCCGGGGGGGTGTAAAATGCAGCTGCTTTGGGAAAAAATCTGGCAGTTCCTCAAATGATTAAAATAGTTACCATTGGGATCCCTGGGTGGCGCAGCGGTTTGGCGCCTGCCTTTGGCTCAGGGCGCGATCCTGGAGACCTGGGATCGAATCCCACGTCGGGCTCCCCGTGCATGGAGCCTGCTTCTCCCTCTGCCTGTGTCTCTGCCTGTCTCTCTCTCTCTCTCTCTGACTATCATAAATGAATAAAAATTAAAAAAAGTTACCATTTGACCCAGCAATTCTATTCCTCGGTATATATATATATAATCCCGGGTCTCCAGGATCGCGCCCTGGGCCAAAGGCAGGCGCCAAACCGCTGCGCCACCCAGGGATCCCGCTAATGGAAGTTCTGTAAACAGAATGGAGATAGGGAAGCCTGGGTGGCTCAGCAGTTGAGCGTCTGCCTTCAGCCCAGGGTGTGATTCTGGAGTCCCGGGATCGAGTCCCACATCGGGCTCCCTGCATGGAGCCTGCTTCTCCCTCTGCCTATGTCTCTGCCCCTCTCTCTCTTTGTGTCTCTCATGAATAAATAAAATCTTAAAAAACAACAAAAAAACCCAGAATGGAGATAATAAGAGAAGGAATCTTGGAACATCAGGAAAGAAGAAAATGGAAAAAACAAAAACATGAGTAAACACAATAGACATGCCTTCTCCTCTCTTTCTCCTCCAAACTATGTTTGAAGGTTGAAGCAAAAAAGTCTAACATTGTCTGTTGTGGATTTCCATGTATGTAGGGGAAATATTTAAGACAATAGTATTATAACATAAACTGGTGAGGGTAAAGGGATTTAAAGGTAGCAAAGTTTTCTATACTTCACTCTAACTGGTAAAATGTCAACACCAGTAGGCTTATTTGATGATGGAATTGTTCTGTATCTATATTATTACCCAGGAATCGATACATGAATGGCAGAGAAGTACACACACACTGTAGCAATGTCAGTTTCCTGTTTGTGATAATGTACTCTAGCCATGCAGTATGTAACCACTGGCAGAAACTGGGTAAAGGGTTAACATGAGACCTCTCTATGCCATCTTTGCAACTTCCAGTAAATCTAAAATTCCAGAACCCCGGGATCACGACCCCAGCTGAAGGCAGATGCTTAACCACCCAGGTGCCCCCCCAAAAAATAAAAAGTTTTAGCAAGCTACCAATATTATCCTCAGAAGGACTGGAGTAGTGGGCACACCAGAAACGATCAGAATGGTATCAAAAAGAGGCATTCATTTCTTCCCTATCAGCCTGCCTACCTACAAACCTATCAACCTATCACATGTACTGGGGACTCACTGCTTTATTCAATGGGTTATCATCTATGGCTATCATTATTTATTTTCCCAAAT